CAGTGCCAAAGAGAGCATGCAGATTTCTGAAATGGGGGTATCGAGATTTATGCCTGTCTTGGACAATGATGAGCGATGGAGGCTTACGGCGAGAGAGGCCATTCTGCCGGCCGGTGATTTTCCATAGGCACACTGACAGAAAAACGGCGAAGTTCTCGAACAAGTCTTAGGGGAGGGTGGGGTAAAATGGACACTTTGGACTTTTTTCTAACTGTTCATAACTCAGAAACAAATTTATCTATTGAGCTCAGTTTAGGCTCGTCACACAGGGAAAGAATTGTTCTTTGTATTGAAAAAAAATATATTGAATTTCATCAACATTTCAACTCGTCATTAACATTAAAAAAAACAGTCAAGTGCCCGTTTTACCCCGACCTCCCCTACTTCTGCCGAGAAAATAGTTTTTTGAAAATGATCGAAAAAGAATTTTTTTTGCGCCAAACATGCAGAGAGTGCGCCGGAGTGGAAAATTTTTGTCGCAAAAATTGATTTTGTAGTTAAAAAAAAATTGCATTCTCTGTACAGGCAAGAAATGTCATTTCTAGCACTACTCCTTCGTTATTCGATACTCCCATACGTATTTTGCTCCCGAAAAATCTTTGTTTTATGCGGAACGAGGGATTGCAGTTTTTCATTTCGACTGTCGAATAATCACTGACAAGAAATGAACCCCTAAATGAAACAATAATAATGATATGATAGGAGTCTTGTAACTTGGGGATAAAATATTTGTTGATAAATTGTCCTCTGTATGAGATATTTTTGAGAGAAAAACGACAATGTTCTCAAACAAGTTTTACTTGTGCCGAGAAAATAGTTTTTTGAAAATTATCGAAAAAGAATTTTTTTGCGCCAAACATGCAGAGAGCGCGCCGGAGTGGAAAATTTTTGTCGCAAAAATCGATTTAGTAGTTAAAAAAAAATTGGATTCTCTGCACGGGAAAGAAATAGCATTTCTAGCACTACTCCTTCGTTATTCGATACTCCCATACGTATTTTGCTCCCGAAAAATCTTTGTTTTATGCGGACCGAGGGACTGTAGTTTTTCATTTCGACTGTCGAATAATCACAGACAAGAAATGAACCCTTAAATGAAACAATAATAATGATATGATAGGAGTCTTGTAACTTGGGGAGAAAATATTTGTTGATAGATTGTCCTCTGTATGAGATATTTTCATCCTGAAAAGGCACCGTCTGGTGTGAATTATCCGCCTCTTGAG